GCTCAGAACAGTGCTGGGCATGGAGCAGTCTGAGAGCTGTCGCTACTACTACTGGAGGCTTGGAAAGTTTCCCCTTTGTCAGTGAAGCAACAGGCACAGTGCAGCTGAGTGGCAGGGCTAAGGCTGGACCCCTGCCTCTGAGTGTAGGGCTTGTTCTAACAAAGCTTGTTCCTTGTTGCCAGGATCTAACCTGGTCAAACACACCCCACCCTCACCTGTGCCCCACTAACGCCCTGACACACTTTCCTTGTTTATGTTGTGAATAGTTGAACTTGGTTCCTCCCTGTGTTTATTTGATAAGTGGTGTTTGCCATGCCGCTTGCCTCTGGGAGAGATTGTTCCTGATCGTGTTATTTTTCTGGCTGTCTCTCTGGGATCCCCTAGAGGTCCTGGCCTTTTCTCTCTTTCTCCGGAGCAGTCTCCAGGATGGCCTTTCCGGAGGCTGGTGGTGACAGCCAGGGCCACTGCCGGTGCCTTTTCTCAGGTCAGCATCTCCGAGTGGAAAGGATTTCCGGGTTGGGCTTTCTCCGTCTGTGGCTGTGGGGCTTTGCAGCAGTGAGCTTGGACTCCCTGGCCGGCCAGGCTGTGATGGCGGCCTGAGGTCATGCCCCGGGCAGCCTGAGCACCTCCCGGATTCCTGCATCCCCCACTGGCCTGTTTGACCTGATAGTGAGCGGCTTGAGTGCGGGGACCATAACCCTCCTCCCCTCCACTGATTCCACAGCCCTGCTACAGAGCCTGACACACAGCCTGTGCTTCTTTGAGTCAGGACAGTCCTGGGCGTCTCCGTGAGTCTGGGCAGAACCCTTGCTGTGCCTCTGTTTGGCCAGGAAGCATTTATTGAGCACCTTCATATCCCAGGTCCTTCAGTGAGTGCCTTCTCTCACACTTGGCCTTCACAACAACCTTGGCAGTGGCAGGTGCGAGCTCAGAGAGGTGAATGTAGTGGTCCCGGGCTTAATAAGGGTGCTGGGGCCAGGATTCAAAACAGGCCACAGCCTGTGTCCCATTAGGGAGGGGTGGCTGGCCTAGTCCCATTCCCCCTGGGCTCCCTGCCTCCCCCAACACCAGCTGTGACTAGGCTCTGCACCTCTTGTTTGGAGGAAGGGTTGCCATGGTGAACACCTGGCAGGGAAGGGAGAGGGAAGGGTAAGCCCGACCACAAAGTGGGGGCAAATTTCCCAAGTCCTGATGGAGGTGAAGTGGAAGCTTTCTCTTCCTTCAGCCCCTCACCCTGAAGTGCTGTTTCCATAGAAACGAAAGGCCCATTGTCTTGTCCCTTCCTGCTGCCTCTCTGCTTGGATGGCTTGGACAGTCGCTGCCACTGCTGCTGCTCTCCGAATGTTTGTTTGCCCGTGGTGCCCAGGAGCCAGTCACGCAAACCCAGACTCTGCCCTGGGTAGCTCCTCTCCAGAGCTCCCCCGGAACCCAGAGAGAAGGGGGGGGGGGGAGGAGAGAGCAAGCTTGAGAGTCACATAAAGTCAGAAGGTTGAAAGGGTGCCCAGGAAGAGCACCCTGTTCCCCTCCATGCTTTAGAAGAAACACAGAGTTGCCTTGACCAGCACTGCCTCTGTGTACCTGAGTGGGCGTCCAGTACCTGAGGGCCTGAAAGTCAGACCCCTCGTGAGACATCCCCTCTCCCTGCCGCTCTTTTCCCTCAAAGGCAGGGCAAGAAGCAGGGGCTCCTGTCCCCAAAGGCCCTGTTTCGTGGCCTCCAACTAGGCTGTCTTAGTGCCTCCTCTCGGTCACAAGGAAGCTAGGTCACCAGGACTCTGTGTGCCAAAGGGTCGGGTTCTTGATAGCTTGGGGGTCCCCTGAGTTGGCACTAGTAATCCTGGTGCACTTGGAGCTGTTGTCCGGCAGGAGCTCACTTTGCTGCACCTTAGAGCCCCCATCCAGGCAGGGAAAGGCTGCCTGTCCTGCAGTGAACATTCAGACCATCACCAGAACAGCCATCGACAGAGCTCAGCTTGCTCCTTACACGATGGACACATCCTTTCACCTCCCCAGGCTGTGTCCGGGTTGGGGGGGAGGCGGGAGGGGGCGGGGGCTGAGCCATGGAGGGATTCTGAGGTCCCTTCAATCTCTAATTCTGACCCCGTCCTTTCTGCCTCTGCTGCCGTCTTGTCACGGGAGAGCCTAAGCTGATGGCAGGGTGGGTGCAAGAGCGAGAAGTAGAAAAGCTGAGCGCTGACAGCCTGTAAAATTGCTCGATAAGAATATAGTTATCAAATACCACGCCAAATTTTTGCAAACCCAAGCATGGTTGGTCCTTGGGAGAACCTTCGGAAATCTCTTCCTTAAGGTCTGGAATCCAGCTGGGGCTGCCAGGTGGTTTGAAGGCTCACAGCCCCCTCTACTGGCGGAAGCTGAGCACCTTTTCCTTCTGGTGTTTTCTCTGGGCTGAGACATTGCTCCTGTGCTAGGTGTGCTCAGAACCTTTGCAGAGCGTCCATCCTGGAGCTTGGGACAGGCCCTCTGGGGCAGAGGTCCCAACCTCAGGGAACAGCTGTCACTGGAGAGCCTTGTTAAAGTGCAGTGAGGATTCCGGACTCAGGGATCTGCACTTTAAACAAGCGCCCTGCTCTAGGAGGTCCCCAGAGTAGCAGATTACTGTGACATTCAGACAAGGGCCTGCTCTCAGGGCATCACGGCTGGGGAAGGAGGTTTCCAGTGAGGTCCTGAAGCCCCTCCCAGCCTCCCCACCGCCCCCCCACCCTGTCCTGAGAAATGGCCAACACTCTTGAACACAAGGAAAGGAAGAAAGGCCCAGACTTTCACTGAGTCCCTGGCATGTGCTCAGCAGACACGGTGCTAAGTGCTTTCACACAGAACTCATAACCACCCTAGCTGATGATATAATTTCACAAACAAGAGGCGAGCCCTGTGTCCACACAGTGAGAAAAAGGCAGTGTGGTCTCCTGCCTCTCAGGGCCATGCACAAAGCATTAAAGCTGTCTCCGGAAGGTAGAGTCAGCACCATTTCCCCACATCTTTAAAAGACTGGAAGGGCCAGAGGCCTGGATACGTGACTGACTCTCCCCCTGCCATCTCCACTAGGAAGAGGAGACTTGTCATTTACACTCCAGAGGGCCTCTCAGTCACTACCTCCCAAGGTCCTCTGGGCCCACATTTTTATTCTCTCAGTTCTTTGAGGTGGCTCCAGTGGCAGCTGCTTTTCCAGAGCTCTCCTGGGTTCCCCTGATTCATGCGTGGATGGGACACCCTGGCCGGCAGTGTGGTCAGACTCCCAGTGATGTGGCTGCTGGGCTCCTGGACTTGGGGACTTCAGGCTGGCCTGTGTCCTCCCTGGGGGCTGTAGGTCTTAGCTCTCTCTCTCCTGCAAACCTGGGCCCCTGTCCAGGATGGAAGGTTGGGTTCTTGCTTCTGGGGTTCAGAGCTCCATAAGGGGCCTGGGGGCCCCCAGTTCCAGAGCCATCTTAGTCAAGGCAGAGTTTCAAAATTCAGTGTGACTCCTGAGGCATTTGGGTCAGGCCCCACCTGGTGTTTGGAGACTGCATTTTGGTGTTATCAGCCTGAGCACCGTTACCAGCCAGGGTTCCGGTCACACAGCATAGGTGAAGGGAGCCGAGTGGGCCTCCTTCCAGGGGCTGATCCCACTTGGCTCTAGAGAAGAGGCAGGAATCCTTATTCTCACTGGCAGATGTCACAATCCCTCTGCCATTCTGGTTTTTCCTAGGCCTAACCAGGACTGCTGTCACCATCTGGGTGAGTGAGGGTGCCTATGTCACCCAATCAACATCTATTGATGCTGTAACTGCTACTATTGTTGTTAGGGTCCTATGATCCCTGAAGGAGCTTGCCACTGCCTGGTCTCTCTCTAGCCAACAAATGTACCGTATTTCCCCATGTATGAGACGCTCCCATGTATAAGACGCACCTTAATTTTGGGGCCCAAAACTTGAAAAAAAAATGTATTACATAAAGTTTTTGAACTCAAGTTTTATTCATCATAAAATTCATACAACTCCTCGTCACTGTCAAAACTCCCAACCATTAGCTTGTCCTCATCGGTGTCTGATGACGAAATCACTGTCTTCATCATATATTGCCTCTCATGGCCTCCTTCTGCTGTGGCGTGTTCAGTAGGGTTTCTTCTTCCCGTAGCCAGTCTTGGATTGTTTTCTCAGTTGGAGGAGGACCAAACTTACGTTCAGCAGCACGATTTCCATTCACTTTTGCAAACTGGATCACTTTTAACTTGAATTCAGCACGATAACGAAAATCTTTTCTGAGCCATTTCTGGGCAGAACGTGGTAAAACGTAACCTACCGTAATATACCGCTAACAAGTGCGAAACAATGAGCGCAAAGACAACAGGCGCGAAAAAGCAAAAAAATCTACAACCACTGTATAAGACGCACCCAGTTTTTAGACCCCAAATTTTTCAAAAAAAGGTGTATCTTATACATGGGGAAATACGGTATGTCTCTGCAGAGTCTGCCCGATGTGGGTACTGTTCTGAGTTCCCTGTACAGCAGCGAGCAAAACCAGCAGTGGCCCTGCCTTTGTGGAGTGAATCTTGCAGAGAGAGGGCGGCGGGAGGGCAGTGACCCTTGTATAAAGGGTGATGGGGAAGTCCTCTCTGACAATTGGCATTTCAGCAGAGACCTGAATGGCCGGAGGGAGGGACATACAGGGATGACTTATCCAGAAAAGGGGCAGGTGAAGCCCTGAAACCTGGAGCTCCTTGTCTGGCTGTCCACATCAGCGTCCCCACCCACCTCTCTCCCTGCCCCAGGTCGTGGCTGCACCCCCCNTGGGGGTTGTCAGGGGTGACCTGCACCCTCCGGCATTTCCCAGGGCACAGAGCCCATCTCCTGAGCTCAGATGTGCCCAGTGGAGGGTGGGGATGTGGAGAAGCCAGGAGAGGTGCAGGTGGGGTTTTGACTCTTGGCCACCAGTTACCCCAGCTCCAGCTGGTCTTCTCTGTAGGTGTGTGGTCTCCATGTGCCTCACCAGTGCCCTACCCCATCCAGGTCATCGCTGTGGTCATGGACCTCTTCACCGATGGCGACATCTTCCAAGACATTGTGGATGCTGCCTCTAAGCGTCGGGTCCCTGTGTATATCATCCTGGACGAGACAGGCGTGAAGTGTTTCCTGGAGATGTGTCAGGGCCTGGAGCTCAATGACTTCCGTATCCGGGTATGTTATACCACTGTGGGGGTTGGGGGTGGTGGCAGGAGATGAGGCAGAGACTGCCTCTGCCCCCTTCCCTGCCTCCTCCCAGTTCCTGGGCTCCGGTGAACATCAAGACCTCAACCCCTTTCCTTCTGTCTAAACCTTGCCAGTGAACTGATAACCGTGAATTATACGCCCAGCGTATATTTTATGCCAAGGCTGCTGAGCCTAAGGAGGCAGCTCTGGGCCAGTGCTGGGCTGCTCAGCCTACAGTCACTGTCAGGCTGTGCTGCTCTTCTGGGGAGCTTTGGAAGCAGGCAGGAGCCACCCTGAGCTTGTCCACATCCAAAGCAAGATTTCCTGACTTCCTCCTGTACTCTCGATGGGGTTCTACCTGTAAGGCTGTAGGAAGTAGAGTCTAGTGCTGACAGGAGCCAGCAGGCAGCACCCCATGGACAAGAGGGTGCCCCATCTAACACACAAAGGCCTGGCTCAGAGCTCGCAAGCCCCAACCTGCGTGACAGTGTCTTTCTCTTCTTCTCAACAGAACATCCGTGTCCGCTCTGTGACAGGCATTGGCTTCTACATGCCCCTGGGGAAGGTCAAGGGGACCCTGTCATCAAAATTCTTAATGGTAGATGGTGAAAAAGTAGCCACTGGATCTTATAGGTGAGTTGGGCCAGGTCAGGGAAGGGCCCAGGCAGCTGTTTTTCATGGTAATTAATGTTCCTATTCAGGAAGATGCTGGACTGGGGCCTCCGTGTCTAAAAGGTATTAATATTATCTGATCCGATGGTAAAGAAGAGCCTCCGGCCAGTCCCTTCCTGCAAACTTTGTAACTACTGGATCATTCCAGAAAGAGAGTCAGTTGTTACAGGACATTAAGCGCAGCCTGCCTTTCATGGTCCAGAGCAAATGGTTGCATTTTGACGCAAGTTGTCAGGTGGGACAAGCAGGAAGCAGACTATCTCAGATCTGGGAAAGAAATGGGAGGGTGTGGCACGGAAAGAATATCTCCCAGATTCTGATTCAGAAGTAAATTACCAGGAACATGAGAGCCTGTATCTGTGTAGTGTCTGCTCTCTATGTAAATTAAAATCTAGTTGCGGAAAAGAGACCTGGGCACCTGATACAATTAATCAATGGCGCAAATCCTCTTATGTGGTTAAAGTATGGGGTTTTGCAGACACCAAGCCCTCGAGAAAATTCCAATAAGGACTGGAATGATATAAACAACAGTAGCAGCTGCAGGAACTTATTACATGTGTGTGTGTTGTGCCAGCTACTGAGCTAAATGTTTTATATATGTTATTTCGCTTGAGCCTCTCAACAGCTTTGACTGTACGGAGTTGAAACCAGGCACACAGGGTAGAAACCAGGCCTGATTTATGTCCTTGCCTTCCACCCACTGCCTGCTTTCTGCATGTGAGGCCAAGACCTGGAAAAGGATTGGGGTCAGTGGAGGGACAGCACCCCAGCACAAAGGCCAGGAGGCGCAGCAAGGCATCTGGCCTCGGTAGATCAGGCTGGGGCGGGGGGCAGTGAGGCAGCGGAGTGTTGAGATGGGCTTGCCGAGGGGCTGCTGGCAGGGCGAGGCCGTCAGCCTAGGCACATGTGTTTTGCTTTTCTGTCCCCATCTTCCCAGGTTCACCTGGAGTTCCTCCTACATAGACAGGAACCTTCTGCTCCTCCTGACAGGGCAGAATGTGGAACCCTTTGATGTGCAGTTCCGGGAGCTGTACGCCATCTCCGACGAGGTGAACTTGAACCAGCAGCTGGGCCTGGGAGGAGGTGCAGGCAGGCTCGGCCTCAACTACTCCTCCACCGTGGCTCGCAAGCTTATCAACCCCAAGTATGCCCTGGTGTCCAGCAGCCGCCTCCCGCCAGGGGAGATGATGCGCTGGGCTGCCCGGCAGCAACGGGAGGCTGGTGGCAACCCAGAAGGGCAGGAGGAGGGCAGCAGAGGCGGCGAGTCAGCCCGGCGCCTGGAGAACTTCCTGAATGACCTGGTCACGCTACAGCAGGTGCTGCCCCCCGTGGAGTCCATACCCTCGGGAGGGCTGCGTCAGAAGGATGGCAAGGTGGTCTCTTACCTGCACGTGGACCTGAAGCCCCGAGAGGCACTTGCCCGAAATGGCAAGGGAGAAGCTGCCAACGGGGAGGCCACCCCGGCCAAGGAGAGTAAGCGCTTTAGCAGCAGGTTGTTCAGTCGACGGGCCAAGAGGCCTGCAGCGCCCAATAGTATGGCCAGCTCCCTGTCCACCGAGACCTCTGCTGAAGTGCAGTTTATGATGGGGAAGAAGCCCAACGATGGCTCCAGTGCCAACATCTCAGGTGAACACCCCCACCCCCCACCTCAGGCTCAGGGCTCCCCAGGCCTCTGGCCCTGATCAGAGAGCATCGCCTCCTACCTGCAGAAAGGCAGCTGTCATGGAGACAGCAGAGCTCTCGGGGGTCAGACAGTCCTCGCTTCCCACTCTGCTCCGTGGCCTTGGGCCAGCCACAGAAGGTCTGAGCTTCCGGTTCCTCTTTCCTAAAAGGGGAGGACGAGGCCTGCATCGCCCAGCTGTTCTGAGGATATGAGCTGCTCAGAACAGTGCTGGGCATGGAGCAGTCTGAGAGCTGTCACTACTACTACTGGAGGCTTGGAAAGTTTCCCCTTTGTCAGTGAAGCAACAGGCACAGTGCAGCTGAGTGGCAGGGCTAAGGCTGGACCCCTGCCTCTGAGTGTAGGGCTTGTTCTAACAAAGCTTGTTCCTTGTTGCCAGGATCTAACCTGGTCAAACACACCCCACCCTCACCTGTGCCCCACTAACGCCCTGACACACTTTCCTTGTTTATGTTGTGAATAGTTGAACTTGGTTCCTCCCTGTGTTTATTTGATAAGTGGTGTTTGCCATGCCGCTTGCCTCTGGGAGAGATTGTTCCTGATCGTGTTATTTTTCTGGCTGTCTCTCTGGGATCCCCTAGAGGTCCTGGCCTTTTCTCTCTTTCTCCGGAGCAGTCTCCAGGATGGCCTTTCCGGAGGCTGGTGGTGACAGCCAGGGCCACTGCCGGTGCCTTTTCTCAGGTCAGCATCTCCGAGTGGAAAGGATTTCCGGGTTGGGCTTTCTCC